GGCTTTGTATTCGGCCCAGTATCGGTCCAGTTGTAAATGGGCCTCCCAAGCCCAAGACTTGGGAGCCCAACCCTAATTTTCTCTATAAATACTCCCCTTGGGAGTAGTTATAGGGGTTACAAATTCATTCTATTGAAGCATATTCTAGCATATTATTCACTCTATCAACTATAATCTCAATCTGACAGATAGAGAATGTGGCTCTGTCTCCGGTACTTGCAGAGGCCTTATGCATTTTTAGCATAGTAACCCATCATCGCAGTTGCCGGGATTCGAACCCGGGATCTAACCCTTGTGGCACTCCCTTGCTATCAGTTGAGCTACGCCCATCGGTATCTTGAAGCTAACAATTCTACACTTAAGTGTACAAACAATTCTATACTCAAGTTTGTAACACTTATCGAGTTCCACACATCAACAACAACAACATGCAAGCCTTAATTCCAAAAAAATTGGGATCGGCTAACATGAATCGATCTATGATATCGATGCCAAAAGGAGAAGACGGGCAAGAAAGGGAAGAAAAAAAATTAAGATAAAATGAATAAAAATAAAGATAAATAAATATAAGACAACAATAACACAAGAATATAAGAAAGATAAAAGATAAAAAAAATAAAAGAGCATAAAAAAGCTAAAAGATAAAAATAACATAAGAATATAAAAAGATAAGGAAGATAAACGATACAAGAAAAAATAGAGGAAAAGGTAGCCAAGACATCAATTGTCCACACGGATGTGAGCCCTCCACTTTGCTCTCTCCAAAGTCATACTCTCATCCAACCCAAGAAGATGCATATCAGTTCTGATTTCTCTAATTCAAGTCTGTTTGGGTCTTCCTCTCCCTTTCTTCTCTGCCTCTTCTCCCCACCCCTCAAGTGTCTGACAGGTGCATCACTCGATCTTCTACGCACATGCCTAAACCACCGCAAACGAGACTCCTACATCTTATCTTCTATAGGTGCTACTCCCACCTTTTGTCTGACTACCTCATTCCTCAAGCGATCTTTTCTGGTATGTCCACACATCCAACGCAACATACGCATCTCTGCCACGCTCATCTTTTGAATGTGGCATTGCTTCACCGCCCAACACTCTACGCCATACATTAATGTCCCAAGCTAGGATAAAAGAGGAGGGTACTGTGATAGGCGTGTGACGGCCAACAATATCACTTAGTCACATCACATGACATGAATCGAGTTCCACACATAAGTGAATAAAATATTGAGTTATACATTTCATATAATAATTAAAAACTCACGAAACATACTGCACATAGACATACATACATGTTAATGGCATAAATTTTATGGATTTGTTGGAGTCCTTCATTTGACGTACACAGAAAGTACGTGTATTGAATTAAATTATCATACAAGTGTTATTGTAGTTTATAACTATTGATTTTAAATTGAAGTTAGACCAATTATATATATTATGATTAAACATTAAGAAATTATAACCTGCACTAGTGAAATAACTAGTTGCAATTAAAGGAAGAAGTAATGAAAATCCAAGGCTCAAAATGATCCAAAGACATCTCATAGACAAACAAACTGCTACATGCATGCATCAATCTGTAGCTATTCTTTGAAAGATATGCATATATGAAGGTGATGCTTTTACACTCCAAAGATATGCATCCAAAACGAGTTTGTTAGTCTATAGATGTTTTTACTTCTTGTTTAGCATGCATATTCACACCTTGGAAAGTGGTGGACTGCCCTTTTCATGCACAACGGATACAACGCGTTTTAGAACCCTGCTTACACCATGTACTATACATGGAACTTATGTAAATAATGATGATGATGATGATATACATAAAAATGCACACACAGAGTTATATGTTATCAATCTAGTAGTTTAAATGTACAAATCAGCATGCAATAATATTCTTTAAAAGTATTCTTACTTTACCTTGCCCTAGTCCCACATTACATTTTTTATATTTCAATTGCACCTCAAGTTATGCTATGTGCATACTTCTGCACAAAAACTGTTCCATTAGACCATTAAAAATGGGAAAAATTCACATAAATAATTCGAACTATTAACGTTCTTCCAAGTTTAATCCCAAATATGCATAATTCTATAATAATCTGAAATTGACGTGGGATCTTCTCTAATTGATCTCCTTTACCCACCACCGGTTAAACCGGTAAACAAAATAAAAAGAACCACAATTGGGTGTGGAATCCGCAGGACACAATTCTTCCAAGCTCCCCGTTCCTAGCCAGCTTGCCTTCATTTGATCTTGGAATTCGAAAGAATTTATTTGTGGAAGAAAGGTAACTTGCTTACTTAGTGCTTGTACTAAGTTCCTCTTCCTGCTGTCCCCGTGAGGCAGAGCTACAGCCGGGGCTGCCCGAAGGCGTCTATGTTGCTGGCCTTAGGTGGGCAAGGGGGGCGGAACTGCACACTTTCGTGTGAAGAGCATTGTTTTGGATGAAAACGAAGGTGCCTCAAGGTATACAGTTTGGCTCCCAATTCGAAGTTTTTTCCTGGAAGTTGAAAAAACTTCGAGGAATCACAGCAACCATACATTTTAGTGTAATCATGTGGAAATTCTTGGACGCCTCAATTAAATGATTTTTCTGCAGAATTCTAAGTGAAGAAAATGGAATTGAAGGAGAGGAGACGGAGATGGTGGCGATGGCGGCCAAGCTGATCAAATTTGTCAAACAGTTTCACCAATGCTCCTTTATCTATAATTTCTCCATAAATTTCAAAGAAGAAGATGGAAGAAGTCACCAAGTCGGCGGATGAAAATCTAAGAGGTAGAAAAAGAGAAAGCTAGAATGAAATTAAGAAAAAGAAGAAGTTTAGAAATATGAGAGAATAGAGGAATTGCTCCGTTGCAGAAGGAAGAAGTGGCGTCGGTACGGGAGAGAAGAGAAATAAAGAAAGAAAAAGAAAGGAAAAGAGATAAATATCTGAAGTCCAATCATATTGAGACACGTGGCAAGGCAACCTGTTAATTTTTTAATTCCGGTCACAGGTCTATTTTGAGAAGATGTCATGTCTAAGTTGATTATTTTAGAATTACTTATAGTTGAGATTAATATTGGAAGAACGTTGAAAGGTGAGATTATTGATGTGAATTTTTCCTTAAAAATGTCAATGTTGTCATATCGGCACATAACGAGTAATAAAAATGTGAATAGGAGAGAATGAGCCATTAGACCATTAAGGTAAACCTCTAAGAGCAAATGAGACACAAAAATAATTTCAGGAGCAATTAGACCACTAAGATAAACCTCTAAGAGTAAATAAGACACTAAGCTAGTTTTAGGAACAAAAAAATACCTTTTAGGAACAAAAAATACCTTTTTCATATTATTTTTTTATTTATCACACTTGGGGTCTTAAATAACAATTTAAGGCTATACAAATCAAAACTCTAAGCATGTCAATGAGTTACGGTATCTTGTACTACTCCCGTTCTCTTTTAATTATAATATTGGACTTTTTTACACTATTCACATATTCTACTTTTACTATATTTTATTTAATGATGTATTATAAATTAATTTTTTAAAATATATTAAAATTCAAGTCATTTAAATTATCAAAAAATGATTTTTTAAAATCTTTCAATAATAAGGAATGAAATTTATTAATGGTCAAACTTGTGTGCTGGAAAGCGTGAAAAGTAGAGCGTTGCAATTAAAAATGAAGGAAATATAATTATATTATTGTTTTACTTGTTTACATTGTTATATTTATTGTTGTTGTTGTTGTTGTTTATAGCTATAATTATAATTATAATTATAATTATCATACTTGCAATTGTAATTATAACTATAACTATAGTTATAAATACAATTAAATATTAATTATAGTTCTAATCCCAAAAAATTGATGGGAAGATTATATATACGAAATATTAAATTCATCAAAAAGGTGTTTTTTGCTCCTAAAATTAGCGTAATTTCTTATTTGCTCTTAAAGATTTACCTTAGTGATCTAATTGCTCCTTCTCCCATTTTTGAAGCATACTAACATGTTCCTTAACGAGTATGTGGATGCGTAATAGATACATTGATATTTAATTTATAACAACCAACTTTAGTCATAATGAGAGATGAACGAATGTGATGCATCCACTTCAATAACATGCTACTTGTGAGTTGTGACGTATTTTTCAGGTAAAACACTGCAAATGTAACTCATTGCTCTTTGCTCCACTTGCAATTTTCAGTTTATCTCTTAGGCCTATTTGCCAAACTTAAAAGGTATGAATAATGTAAACAATGAACCACACTTTGTAATTTTATGACACGGTACTTTTGTAGTGCATTGAAATTTAGAACGGTGTTGTCAATCCCGGATAGCAAAGCGTAGCAGCCAACCCCAAAAACGCTACAGCGGTATAGCGAATAGCGATATGACCACTATTTATTTAGACAATATATATGCACAGTACATATTTTTATGTATGCAGACAATTACATGTCATGCACATATTAATTCCGAGAAATGATGAGACATTAGTCTTAAAGAAAAGAAACAGATAATTTAAGTACCCTACGTCTAAACATTAGAAATTAAGTTCCAGATCATTCTTGATAAATTTCTGTCGTTAATATCTCATTATAAGAAAATCATGGTTGTTGACTTGTTGGGATGCCTTGAACTACCTTAACATGGAGGGGTATGATATAGGTTATGTTTGATCTTGGTTTCTGCTTTGAGTTATTATAGTAGTGTTTACTACTGTAGTACTGTTTAGTAGGCTTTTGGAGAGTGAATTGAGGCTATTTTTTAGTTCAGAAACATCTAAAAGTAAAATGCACTCCAAAATTCCCTGAAAACTAGCACCAAAGTAGCCCTGTAAACTAGTGTCCTCTATAGACTATAGCCGCTATTCTTCCTGCTAAGCTGCTATTGCCAACCGCTCCTTTTAGGCAGTCTCATAGCGGCTACCCTCCCGCTCCGCTCTGCTATAGCGCCGCTATAGTCCTCTATTGACATCACTGATGGAGAATACAAATCGCTGCCTTGCCATTAAAGGAAATTTGCATGAAAAAAACATGTTTCCAAATATAGTAGTAGTAGTTTGTATGTAATTTAGAACATCTCCGGGGGGGAATAATTGAGAATGGAACATCGAAGAAAGAAATGCAACCATATCGTATAAAGTCCATATACTCGCAGGTAGATAAAGATCTCAAAACCACAGCGAAACTAAATTCAGCATTTGAAAACCTCTGACTTTCAATGGAAAATACCTTCTACTTAATTGCATATGAATCAATTCTGTGGAGAGGTTTTCACTGACCCAGTCACGGGCGCTGTATCATAGGTCCCTCCAACAGCACTGGCATCTATTGGAGGGTAGGCTGAAGGATGAGAATAACCACCCGCACCAAGACCATGACCGCTGTTGTATTGGGGATGCTGAGTCATGTTTGGCGGCGGTGCGCCATAGGGGGGTGGTGGTTGATTGTAACCTTGCGCACCATATCCAGCAGAGGTAGGATATACCTGAGGCGGCTGCCCAGGCTGTTGAGTAGTTGGTGGAGGCTGCTTTATACTTGTGGCGGGCTGTCCATGATTAGCAGAGACGCTGTAAGCAGGCGCAGGTGGTTGGGTCCCATACCCACCACCACCACTACCTTGAATCTGGTTTACTCCTTGATGTGTGGCGATGGGGTAAGCGGCATTAGGACTAGGATTCTGGGATGCATCATATCCACCAATGTGTGGGCCCACTGCCTGGCTCGCACGGGGAGGTGCTTGATTCCCATCTCCCTGGGTCCCATAAGTTGTTTGGCTGTCTGGTGGTGGAACCGAGGAATTACCATAATACCCTTGTGGTTGATCATATCCAGGAACGGTGTTTGTCTGGCCAGCATAACCCCCACCTGATTGAGGCGCAGGTGCAGAATAGCCACTGTACCCACCTTGAGCATAAGGTTGTCCTTGATTATTATTGTAGCCATAGACACTACTACTATCCCCACCTGAGCCTCCAGGGGTTTGTTGCTGCTGCGGGACCTGGTTGTAATAATCATAGCCGCTGCCGGGTGCTGTTGGCTGATTTTGGTTTGATTGTGGGTCCCATCCAGGGCCATACCCACCAGGTGTTGGTTGGGGTGGGTAACCGGGGTACGATGGCGGTTGAGGCATGCTGTATTGAGGTGATTGACCAGTAGGAGGGTACGTCCCAGGCTGCTGTGTGTATCCATAACTTGGTTGTTGCTGTATTTGTTCACCATGAGGGGCCCAGCTGGTTTGTGGCCGTGCTTGGTAACCTTGCTGAGGATATGCTCCCATCATTGATGGGTTTCTCATACGGTTCTGCACAAAAATGATAATCGCAATGAACCACAAACAGAAAAATAAAATACAATAAATAAAAAATTATATTATGGTATAAAAGAATTCAATAAACACCAGAAAATAACATTACCAACAATCATATCTAAAGCATACTAGTTTTATTTTGGGCTTATAGATATTATAGTTGTCTCATTAAAGTCAAAGATCTAAAGATGACACCGCCGCAGTAACATACCGTTAATTGTTTGATTAGAACAAAACTCCTGCAGAGGTCCATCTTCACCCTAATTGAAGTGAGGAACGCAACAATAGCAAATGGCAAAGATACTAAAATATTTCCATTATGTTTGACTCTATAAAATTTGGTAAACTTGTATTTACAAAAGCTCATGTCCATGCCAATACATCCATTTTTAAATTTAGACAGTATGACAGGCCTAGCAAGACTAATACTCCATTTGGATGTTTGATGGGCTTATCTGGACTATTCTGCATATCAGAAAAATAAGAAACATGAGGTCATCCATGAAAATAAGAGTTATGGTCTAGACTTTTACTTTTTAGGATTTGGCCTACTATTCATGGCCTGATCATTCTGATTTGGTCTAATCTGGATGTTTAGGATCTTGTCTAAGTTTCTTCTGGGAATAACAGCATTCGGGTTTCACTAAAACTTGGTTCAAATCATGGTGATCTGGTCTAAATGCTTCTGGTATAGTCTTGGACTCCTTGTTTGAAAAAAATGAACAGGTAATAAACAAAAAATATAGGTGAAGAGAACAATAAGTAATAAAAAGAATTAGTTGTAAAAATGGATGTTATAAAAAAATCCTTTCAGAAAACTGAGCGCCCTAACAAAACGGCCCATAAGTGGAGAATCTTCAACAATAAAAATGCCTATAACTATTGAGACACACGCACTCAAGATAAGCCATCACGGCTGGACATCTATCGCATTGAAGAGTCTTGAAACTATAGTTGTCGATTGCGAGGAATGGCGTGTGCGTCATGCGCCATATGGCGAGAAACCCTCCATCGCCATGAAAAGTCGCCATGGCAACGATCATACACATGGTGGCACCATATTTGCACCATCACCATTGCCTTGGCAATCGCGCCATAATATTAAACAAATCTGAACCAGTTTACGTTGTGATTTTTGGGCTTCTGGCCCTCATAAATACTTCAATAATCTGTCAGGCCATAATATTAATAAACGCACTGCAAGTCTGTATCCCATAGAAATTGTTATCATAAAAGGAGCAAAAGGATTTTCGAGAGTTAAATGTGAACCATAGCAACAGTAGGAGAGCTCAACCTTAACATCACATGTGTATTGAAAATTAAAAATAGGTATAATGGTTTAAGGTACTGAAAGTCTGAAACATCATGAACACTATAGTTTTCCAACTTTTTTTAATGTGGCATCAGTTACGTTTATTAAAACCAAAGTGGCCTACTGGCATCCATTTAATTCCAAATACAGAAGCGTACTTGAACTTCAATAATTTTATATCAAATAAGACACTCCTCCTTCACAACTTCCTGGCATTAATATGTTATCAATTATCATGCTATGTCACTTTATTACAGAGTTAACCGAGGGGGCAGAGGATGTCTACTGCCTTTGCCAAGAAGCTTTTTGAAAGACATGAAACTTTTTTTAACATAATGTTTTTTGGAACTACTTTATACTATTTTAACTTCACATGTTTTGGTTAGAATGTTGTTATTCAACTTTTTATCATGTTTTAGTGGTTGGGTGAGAGAATTAGAGTCTACAATTCATATTTTAAGTAATTTTTTTTGTCATGTGGCGACACCATAATTGCGCCATCGCCATGGAAAAATGCTTTCGTGCCATGAAAACTATGCTTAAAACCCATCTCAAACCTAGTGATGGTCATGGTTGAACCTGCATCACATGAAATATCAACATAACATCAGAGTATATGATGTGAACTAGCTTGGATCTGACACCTCAAATGACAGTACTTTGACGTTAAAACTGAGTTAAAGGATTAGGTCATAACCAATTCTCATTTGTAATCAATTCCAACCTATAACAAAGAAGCCCTGCTAGGATATGTTTGGGACTAGGGAGTTGGTTTTGGAGGGTTTTAAGAGGTTAATTTTTTTTATTTAAACACATTGCTTTATTTGATAATATTTTAAAACAAAACATATAAAATGATTATTTAATATAAACACAAGGCTCTAGTCTTTCACTCCCTCTGATTCATATATAGTAGTATTCTTACAAAACCAAAATAGAAAAATATGGATGCTGGCAACTAGAAATGGGAAGTATGAATACTCCATATGCCCCAAGTACCCCATTGGTTAAATATCATCTTCCATGTGCTTTCTAGTTCTCTCTCACTTCTATATGCCCCACACACTAGTCCAAAACCTACCATCATACTTTCCATCAATTTTTCTTTTCATGTACCCCATCTTCTTACTCTCATTTTTCATGCACCCCACCCATCCCGAATACTCTTGGACATTGTGCCCAGGACATAAAAAGGCTAGCTCAGATATCGATGCTTTTTGTTTCAAAGTGGCGAGCATAACTTTTGAGGCATAGGCCTCATTATATTACAATAACAACAACAACAACAACAAAACAACAAAATTAATAGTTGAACAATTAATTTCCAACAAAAGATGTGCACCGCTATCAAAAGTGCGTGCCTGGGCACTTAAGGGCTAGGCGCTAAAGAGCTGTAGCACCTTATACTTTCTTTTAGGCGAAGCAGTCTGTGTCAGGAGGCACTTTTTGCAAAAGAACACACATAAGGCGCCTCGGTGGGGAAACGCTTCAGTCTATTTTGTGTTCGCGAATATGATTTGGTCCTATTACAAATAGGACCAATATTGATTATAACTTACAACCCATCCAAATAATATGGCTGATGTATTATTTTCATACAACACATAAATTAGAGAAAAATATTGTGGAATGAGTAATAGATAGAATACAATCCTCTTTTACAAATACAAGGCTTTAAACTTGGTTTGAAAAAGCTCGCCATAGAATAAGATCATCTATTACAATACAAGGCAAAACCTTAGGTTGAAAAGAGGCGTGCACAGGCGCGGGGCACAGCTAGGATATGCATAAAGTCTAAAAAGTCTCCGTAAAAAACTGCCTAGAACCCTGAACTATGCTTTTAAAACCTTGAAATGAACACACTAAATGACACAATTTGGAAAGCTGAAAGCTTCGTGATAGGAACCTGGACACTCCTCCTGATAAATTTAATACTTGGATTGGGCAGAATATTAATATTGCAAAATAATAGGGTTCTAGGCCCTTTAGGAGAGTATTATTATAAGAGCGGCTATGGGGAAGAATAACGTATGCAGAACTTGGATTGGGCTAGGACTTGAGAGAGAATAGGCACTCTCAAACTTGCCTCATCTGTATTTCCATTTCCGTTCTTCACTTTCCTTCATAATAGATATAAAAATTCCGACAGATTTCTGTGTTCTCTATTATTGGTATCAGAGCAGCGGTTCTGGTGGAAGACGATTTCTGGGGAGTACAGTGGATGCCAACAACTAGATCGCGGAAGGAGAGCCGTCTGTATAACTTGGAGCGAACGATCGAGGAGTTGAAGGCAATCATTTTGCAGAGGGAGAAACGGCGATGGCATGGGAGATCACGAACTCCAAGGCGGAGGAGTACGATGAGGAGCTTGGTGTCATCCTTTTCCTTTTCCAGGAGCGATTCAGGTAGCAATCACTCCAGTACTCTACTTCTGATCGGCACGAGACACGGGGCGGTCGGGAATGATTTGAGCGGGGCAGAAAATTGATTTACCATTGTTCAATGGTACGGATGCCTACGGCTAGATAATCTGGATGGAACGCTTCTTCAAACTTAACCAGATTGAGAAAGGAGACAGAGTATCAGCGGTGATGATAGCCATGCAAGAGAGAGCTCTCAACCGGTTCCAGTGGTGGGAAGGGCAAACCATGGAACGCAGTTGGGAATGCTTCAAAGCTGCTTTGATCCATGTTTCCAACCAGAACTCGTACAGAACCCTTTCGGTCCCATGTTGACTATCAAACAGACAGAAAGCGTCATGGAGTATCGTGAACAGTTTGAGTTGGTGCTTGCACCCATGAGGAACACAGATGTGGAGATGCTGAAAGGGATTTTCATCAACGGATTAAAAGAGGAGGTGAGATCTGAGCTGAAACTTTATCCATCCACTTCTCTATCTGAATTAATAGAACGAGCTCTGCTGATAGAAGAGAAAAACACTGCTATTTGATCAGGGATACATAAGGAAGAGGACAAAAGGAGCCGGAAAGAACAGGGAGAGACTATGGTCAGGCATTTGAACTGGGTGGAAGCAGCAAAGGGAAGAACACCTCCTATTCAGTCACAGACTTCGGACTCCTGAGGGAACACTGATAGAGTATATAGACTCCCATATACTCTATGAACCACATTAAAAGAACAAGCAGACTCCTGAGAGAACACATTCAAAAAACAAGCTGGAGGAATCACCAAAACCGAATAAGACATTGGGGGGGCCAAAGGTTGACACAAGCAGAGTTAGAAGAAAGAAGCTAAAAGAGAGTATGATTCAAATGTGGAAACAAATGGAGCAAAAGACTTGTTTTTGGAATCAAACATTATCAATTTGTCTTGATGGAAGAGCCAAAAGAAGAGAAGGGAACAAGTGATCAGCAGCCTGAACTGGATGTAGCCGATAATCCGCTGAAACCAAATGCCAGATCAGTTTGTTACTACCCACCATGACAACAAGGCGGTAGTTAAAGGGGGAGTGATGATAGGGACCCGGACACTCCTCCCAATAAGAATAATACTTAGTCTATAATATTGTGAAAAAATAGTGTTTCAGGCCCAGTAACTTAGTTGAGGGCTGGCCCTTTAGGAGAGTATTATTATAAGAGCGGGTATGGGGAAGAATAAGCCTTGAGAGAGAAGAGGCACTCTCGAAATTGCCTCAACTGTATTTCCAATTCCGTTCTTCAGTTTTCCTTCATAATAGATATCAAAATTCTGACAGATTTCTGCGTTCTCTATCACTTAGTCCAATTCTAAAATCTTAATTTGCTCGGTAGGCCTCATTATTTAGAATCTCAAAATATGGCCTGAAGGGTGTTATAAATTAGATTGGTTTCACTCCCAAATCAGAATAGACTTAAACAAACCAGACTAGAACAGACTTAAACAAACAAGACATAGATAAAAGTAAAACACACATACACCAAACGTCTACAAGACTAGACTTAAACACACTCAAGCAGTCATAAACACACCATATCAGAATATTTCAACCTAATTAAAAACATCTGAAGTGTATCTTGATTGCGAGACCATAAGCCTATTATCTTGAATTAAGTCCTTAAGCTAAAGCCTGTTAGGAACATAAGCCTCTTATCTTGAAAGAAGTCCACAAGCTAAAGTCTTACTGCCTACTTTAATAGCCCCACTATGAGGCATGCCACAAAAACCCGTCTCATACACACCTTCTAAAACCATGTTTGAGCCAAATGAAATTGGAACCTCAATACAAAACGGATGGAGTATTTAGTATTTATTATCAAAACTCATATACGAAGTATAATTTTCTTAACCTAAAAGGAATTACCCTTCCCTTACCTTCCTTTCAGAAATCCAATTAATAAGCATGCACTAAGAGAAACATGGGCACAAAAGAGGCTGAACAGTCACTGAGTTTAATGTTTACACCAGAACCTTATCATGAACCGATAGGGATGTATCGTGTTGTGCTAGCCAATATTCGAAAAAACGGCTGGAAGTGAGGAATTAAGCACGCCTACAGGAACCTGCTGCGCACAGGATTCTTGTTGCAATTTTTCAAGCGCCTGGGTGCGCCTTGTGCAGTTGTGCCTAGTCGGCGCGCTTTTCTAAGCTAAGAATGGATGCTTCTTACAGTCTACTAGTCATCTAGTCTAGCAATGGATGTTTAACTTTTGAGCATATTTAAGTACGACTCCACCACCAAAAGCACAAAAAGGTATTAGAAAGAGAACACATGCAAAATAACTGCAAAACAGAAATACAAGAATAAATCAACACCATTACGCACAACAAAAATACCTCACTGATAGCATCATTCACAAGCTGTTTTGCAATTTCAATCTGATCGCTTGATCCATCAATCTGTACAGTCCTCTCAGTTGAAGTGTCACCGGGCGGCAAGTGCAAAGGTATCACCTGCAATAGTTGTAGTTGTTGAAATAAAAACTAGATTCTGGACTAGAAGAAGTTGAGATATAGAATGCTGCTTACCTGAATACGTGCACCTGATCTTGCTTGCATGTTTTTTATGGTTTCTCCGCCTTTTCCAATAACAAGGCCAACCTATACACACACCAATTGGTAATAGAAAAAGGTAAAAGTATTCATACAAAACAGCAAGCACATTTTACAGGCCGTGCAGTATACCTTGTTGTTAGGGACTCTCATTACAAATTGTTCACCTCCTATTTGCTGTCCTGTTAACCTTCTGGAAGTCGCGTTAGAACCACCTAAATCAGCCTGCATCAGTGGCAAGCTATTAGTTAAAGACCAAACGGGAGTTGTTATTGAGAATTACAGATATAAATAAATGGTATATCAACCTCAGAAAGAACATCTTGAATAAGCTTGTCAGCCATGGCTATCTGCTCTGGAGTGCCCATTAGTTCAACCTCTCTGGTTTCAGAAGTAGGGTCAGCATCCATATCTCTAGTGACTTGTATCTTTGCTCCAGATTGGACTTGAAGATTCCTTATCGTTTCCCCAGACCTTCCTATGATTACACCAACCTTGGCATTGGGAATCTCGATCTTCTTGGTTGGACCGGGATAACCATATGAGCCAGTACCTGAAGGATGAAATGCAGACCCCAATGGCTTCTGAGCTGCAGTGAATAAAAATCAGATCATAAACATGGTGTGTACAAATACAAAAATCGTAAGGTGAAATTAGATAAAGTCATCAGAGCATTTAGACTTGAGAGATAAACTTTCATAACTCTGTGAGCACAATACTTTCTTTCTCCCCTTAATTCTACAGGAACGAACAAACAGAGCATTGATATGCTAACTAAGGAGGCATAAGATGCTCAAATGGACAGCAATTGTGAAGGATAACCACTTTCAAGAACAAAGAAAGAACTTAACGCATAACCAAAGCGGGAAAGCCGATAATTATTCAATAGCAAAACAACAAATTCAAAGACAGAGTAATATGAACGGTCTCCAGGAGCAGGAGCTAAGGCCTTACCTTCTCGAGCTTCGAATGCAACAGAACCGCCATTATTGTTCCCCCTTGCCTTTGTAGGGTCGGAGTTGCTGAGTAGGCGAGCAGCGATCTCCTGCGCCCTCTGTTTTGCCAGCTGGAAGTCGTCAATGGGAGGCGCGTTGTTGTAAGTAGGAGTCCCAACGGAGGCGGACACGTCGGCTGGAGATGTTGATGATAACGGAGCAGAAAATCCGGTGCGCCTACGAGACACCAGTGAAGGGGACGCTGAATCCTCATACTTCCTCTTGTTGGGGCCGGGTTCCGATGAGTACTGTGCCTCTTCGGCCATTTCCGTGTGCGAGAACGGGAGAGAGTGTGAAGTGTGGGTTGTACAAACCCTAGTCGGAGGGTGAGATGGAACGATCAAGAAAGGAAATATTATACCAGGGGATTTTTTTTTTATAGTCTAAGGAATTGTTTTTCTTTTTAAAAAGCACAACAGCAGCGGCGGATCCTTGTCAGGGCAGGGGTGGGCTGCCCAGCCCAATTTTTATGTTTTTAATTAGTATAGGCATAAATTTAATATCCCTAGCCCACCTCAAAATTAATTCTCAGCTCAGTCCAGTCCAATCCAATCCAATCATCAATCATTCCACTTAACTACTTCAAGCAAACCTGTGGTCAGAAGTGCGGAGCTGTGAAGAACGAAGGTGGGGAAAGAGGGAGTAGCAAAGATGCGACGGAGACACCAAAGATGAACACCAACTGACCTCTGGTCAACAGCTGAGCCACCGCCCGCCGTCCACGCGTCAAGGGCCCTGTGTCGGCCATCTTCCCTCTCCGGCTCTCCTAGTCCGACTCTGCCCTCTGTGGCTCTGCCTCTATCTCCATGTATACTCTAAATTCTAATACTCTTTTACACTATTTTTCTTGATTAAAATTGTATTATTTGTTAAACATTGCATTGTTTGTTAAGCATTGTATTATTTTGTGAAACATCGTTAATCTATTTGAATATTTGATAAGTCGAGGACCTAGAGCGATTGTGTGATTGTGTTTTATATGTGAAACATTGTATTATTTTGTGACTGTGTTATTATGTATTACTTTTTTAGTTTTGTAAATCTATTTGATTCTTAATTGAATTTTTCAGTACATAATAAAATACTACCTTTGTCCCAAAATGTTTAGCCAAATCTCAAAATTTGGACCATAGTTTTGATTAGTATAATATTATGAAATTTATACTTTTATGAAAGTACTTTTAACAAAGAACATTTTCATATAAATTTTATATTATAAATAATTTCCAATAAATATATATTAATCGTCAAAGTTTTGGATTTGACTACTCATTTTGGGACGGAGGTAGTAGTGTTTATTCAAATTTATAATGGTTAATAATTTTTTTTATCCAAAAAATGATTAGAGATAAAATTAGAGATTAGCGAATGATTTATTTATTATACAATTGAAGATTAGAGAATAATTTATATATTGTGTGGACATGTAAGAAATAGTTAAAAATTTCAATTGAATTTTGAAATACTAGAATCTTTAACAATCATTAATAAATTTATAAAATCGCACTAAAAATGTTTGAATGTTAAGTTATATACAGTTTAATTTATTCCTATAATTTATAAGTTAACGATAGGTCGAGCCCGGATTGAACCGAACATCACTAAGCTCAAACTCGGCTTGAATAACTATTCGAACTGAACATCTAGCTTGTTTTCGACTTCGAAGCTTGTTAAGCTTGAGTCATTAAATTAAATTTGAAATCACGCTCAAACCCGAGTAGTTCGAAAAAAACTCAGTTCGTTAACAACCCTAAACTAAACATTTTGTGTGAAGTAACAAATTGTTTTACTGCTTAGCCCGCCCCACCTCCCATTCTTGGATTCAACCCTGCACAACAGGAAAATCAATTTTAAGAAACGTTAGATTTTCGTGAGGTTTGACTTTTCCTAGGGTTAGAAGCAGTCGCACTACAGCTTGACTATGGATGATGAAGAGGTGGGTTTTGTGCTCGAAGATGCGGCCAGTGGTGCAAGGGGAGTAGTGTTTTAGATGGATTTTTTTTTGTGGGGATTTAACTTTCACTCATACTGCAATAGCTTGCCCTTTTCTCGAACCACCTCTGTGTAGGAAGCAATTTGTGGGAAAATTTTATTTTCATATTATTTTTCTTTTAGTAGTATTTGTTTTTATTTTAGTTTGAGTAGGTATGGTTGAAGTTTTTTTATTTTTGAAGAACTTTTGATAAGTAGTGCTTTTTTGTCATTTTAGACTTAATTTTATTTGCCTGTTTATGTATAGTGAGTCCTTGTATGGGAGTTTGACACATTGTCTATTACTAGGGCTTACAATCAGATCTGTAATACTTGTATGCATGATGTCTTGCAAGTTTTCTCTATGTTAATAAAAGTTGATTACCATAATTAAAAAGAAAAAAGAACTTAATCTTCTTCGGCTTCACAAAAATTGCTTCAAAGCAATTTGTTGCATTTGAAAGTATTTTTTCATTTTCTCTCAAACACTGCAATATCGGTTTCTACTCTTTGAAAGACCAAAGGTAGATTTGAGAAATAGTTCTGAGCACCCCATGGCAGTGTTTGGAACTGTTTCCAGATCTTTTTTAAAGGAGAAGGGTAATCAAAATCAGTTTTTTCATAAGTTAATATCCCCTAACTTCTCAAAAACAGCTTCTAGGATAAATTTGGAACACTCAGTAATAGTTATGCACTTCTACCCAACACTCGAATATTTGATTATGCTCATTAAGTGATTAGAAGCATTTTTAAAAAGTAGATGCAAACGCTCTCTTACTCATGTTTATATTATTTGTCCCATTAAACTTTGTCAACATTGAATTGGGTGAAAGTAAGAAAAATAAAAATTGTGTTATTGAGTTTTGAGCAGAGAAGAGAAAAAATGAACAAAATCAAAAAATAATTACTTTAATGGGGAAATAATAAAGTTTTTTGGGACAATTAAAAAAAAGTTGGTAAAGTCCAATTGGATAGATATGGTATCTTTCAAATAGCGGTGTGGGCCTCTAATATCCAGAATCGAATTTGTCAAAAAATAGTAACAACACACCAAACCTAATATAAATTGTTATTCAGAGTCAAACTGGTTTAACAAGTTCAAAATTTGAACCTAATCGGGGGAATCAATTTCTGCATTATTAAACGTTGTTCTTAAAAAATAAGTAATATTTTGGTAACAGTTGAATAACTATGAAGATGCGGTCTGGAACGGCGCGCAACCCTAGGTCGGTTGTCTCTTGTTCGCTAGCCATTGGCAGCATAACCTCAAGATCGGTCGAGCACTACTCTCATGCTCCCTCTTCTAACAAGCCGAAGGTTGTTCAAAAAGTGCTCTTGTAGATTGTATGAGCCGTGGTAAATTTCCTAAGATTTCTAGGGTTCTTATTTTTATGTCAATTTTGACAGTTATTTATGGGTGACTTTTCCCATGTCAATGATGAATATTTATTGGAGTCGCTATGTTGTTATTCAGTTACAACTAGCGGTATTTCGCTAAGCTTAGATTGGATTTATTCTCCTCAAAGGTGACATTCCTCATTTTGTCCATGTTGTCACTGTTAATCCGCCCCCTCCGAACCACCACCACCACATGACAAGGGGGGTGGAAGTGGGTTAAAAGTCTGAAGAGGCAAATATAAATATCACTCATGAACCATGCGAGGGCGCAATATTGTTGAACATTGATGACTCATAGCTATTTTATTATTTTACAAGCGTAGCCTTCAATTATTTTAGTAGTTATGTTTGGTTCAATACCCGGGTTTTTACTTATCATAAATAACAATGAGAAATCAAAATTGATCATGGATGACTTACATGTGCCTCCATGGGGATTAGCGAGACGTATTGGTCATGCATGGGTGATTGGCTCAGAGTCTGGTACAAGGACTTGTGATCCGGATTTGGTTTTTATATTTGCTGTATTTTGGCATCCATAGTATTGACTCGTAGGAAGGACCACAGACTCGAGGTTTGTTATTCCACTTAATGTGACCGAGGACTCAATGTACAACATAAAACACGACATACCACTGGCTAGGCTACTTGAACAGACAAGACTAATTATTTGGGATGAGTCTCCAATGACGCATAAGCACTATTTTGAAGCTCTAGAACGCACTACGAGAGATGTTCTTCGTCACTCGTCGGGTTGTGATGTTGTTATATCTTTCGATGGAAAAAATATTGTATTTGGTGGAGACTTTTGACATATATTGTCAGTCATTCCAAGAGGCACCAGGAAAAATATTGTTCAAATGTCTTTAAATTCATCGTATTTAATTTGTGGTCATTTGATTGAATCATGCGGTGCAATTGACATAGAGCGCTTTACATATTGAAAGGACATAGTTAAGTTGCGATTCAGCATCTTCCTATGACTCAGATAGCGAGCTCTTTCAAGACATACATTCTTCGAAATTTTTTAATAGCACCAAACGTTCTGGTGTGCTAAGTCATGAACACAAGCTGAAGGTGGGATGTAACGGTGATGCATATGAGAAACATAGATCACATTGTTGGGTTATGCAATGGTACGAGACTCGTGGTAACTACACTCGGGGACTCATATTGTTGAGACTCAAATGATGTTAGGATCAATTGTTTCCATGTTAGTGAAAATATTTTATTCTCTCACTTAGTTTAACGCCTAAGGACTTGAAGCTCCCTTTCACATTTCAGCGCATAAAATTTCCTCTTATGGTTAGTTATGCGATGACGATTAATAAGAATCAAGGACAGTCCTTATAAAGGGTTGATATATTCTGGGAGGGTCCGGTTTTTACTCATTGACAATTATATGTTGTGGTATCGAGTTTTGCATGTCCATGAGGATTCAAATTTATCATATGTGGCGATGATGGTCAACCAAGCAATACTGCTTGAAATTTGTTTACAGAGAAGTGTATAAAAATTTATAGTTTTTTCATATGGTCAACCAGAACGATCAACATATCTCTTTAAGTAAAAGTATTCAAACGCTCAAGGACTTCAACCTCTATTCATCTCAAGCAACACACTTAACGTTGGAAAAGATACTTCATACTTTTCTTTCCAACGTGAGAGAATCGTTCCTCCGGTTCTTCAACTCTTTGAAAGCCTCATCTACACATTCTTTGTGAAGAAGCTATGTTGGAGAAAACTGATTTTCAATCAAACACTTCTTGAAAAAGAAGGGACGTCTCAAACTAGCTGGAGTAGTGAAGTGGGGATACCTCAAGAGACTCAGTGAAACGAGACCAGCCATCAGGAAGCAAGGATTGCATCCCGGGTGGCAACTAGACTTGAAGAAGACGAGGAGTGCTTCTTAAGTGCTAGGGACTAAGGCGTTGTAAACTGTTGTCTTTGCAAGCTTAGTGGAACAGTGGACTAGAGGAACAAGTTGTTCCTTGAACCACTATAAAAACCCCGGTGTCATTCACTTTACGCATTTACTTTC